TGTGCACAGCGCCCTGAAAGCCTAGCAACTTGATATTTAGTTTATTTTCACCTGAAACTGTAAGTGGAACTATACTGCAGTAATCAACAGTTTCTTGTATTCTCCTCTATTATACAATATATATACATGGTGTTTCATTTTGCAGACCAAACATTTTCAAGGTCTCCGCGTAAAAGCAAACATTAATAGCCTCATTCAGTTAATAAAACTTAAAGTTCATTGAAAAAAACAAACAATTTTAAACATAATTCCAGTGAATCATTTGCAATCAAACAGCGAAATTCCTTTAACCAAATGAATATTTATTTCAGAAGATAAAAAATTGCTTTAGACTCCAATTCAAACAACTATTCCCATGCTATACAACTCTAGATCGTAAGTTCCTTATGTTTGATTCACAATATTTTTTAAACCTTTTATTTATCGATTCACAACAGAACCGTTTAAACCTTTTATTTATCGATCCACAACAGTAATAAAATATGATCCACAAAACCTGCAAAACCTAGAGTTTCCAAATCCTGCAAAACTTTTAAGCCTTTGTTCAATTCTCAATGGTACATATTTCTAAACCAATTGTTCGAATCACAACAATGCTCATTTATTGTTAATTACCCTTAACTGTTTAATCTTTATTAAAAGTCATTATTTTTACACATGTACGTCAATAACAATTTTTTATTTTGTTGTAAGAAACCTCGTTACTGAAATATATTTTCAACAAGAAGTTATCGTCTATGCGTGCATGAAGAGTAGAGTGTTTTAACCAGGGCCAGACCCTTAATCAACCTACCCATTCGGGGCAACTACCCCTATTCGCCCATTTCGAGTCAAGATCCTTTTAAATGGGTTTACAGATATATATTTGAGAGGAGCAACGTTGTTTTTGTGAATATTAGCTGGGCATAGATTATAATCGTATACTATGACAGGCCCATATATGTCGCTAATTAGTCAAAACTATTTTGAGCACGTTCTTTTTATTTACTTTAAGTGGAAGGAATAGTGAAGAAAATCAAGTTTTTTAATATGCAATGAAGGACACAGATTTAAACTTGAAACTAAAAATAAATGGTTAATTTTCTGAAGAACGGGCCCCCTCTTCCCTCTATCAATTTCATACAAAGCTAGCTCAATATTATACATGCAGCGGGTCTGTTCTAGTATACGAGTTTTGGACCCTACCCTATCAATTTTGTTTAAATGACCACTAATTTCAAGAGTTATGGGGTCCTTTCCTAGTAAACAATTTTGGGACTCCACCCGGGCCCCCCTTATCTATTTTGTACATGACATTTCCAAAATTTTCAACAAAATTAGTATGTATTTACGGGTTGGTTAGGTTAAGACACTTTCTGGGCCAGCTTCTGTGGCTAGGACAGGCTAGGGGGCAGAGCGCTGCATCAAGGACAGGCCAGGGGGCTAAGCACTGAGGCTAGGACAGGAGGGGGCTGGGCGCTGCGGCTAGAACAGGCTAGGGGGCTGGGCGCTGCGGTCCCATGACCAAATTTTTCCATGTGTTAAATATGAAATCCATGTACAAAATCGTTAGGGGGGGGGGGCCAAAATGCCGATCTCTAGGATATGATTGGATAATTAAAATACTTTCAAATTGAAGTTTCGCTAATTAGGCGTAATTATTGCAAAATTTCGCGAAGTTACTTGGTAGAAATTACACAAAATTGAAGTTTCGCTATAGTAATGCTTAATCATTAAAAAATTTCAAAAAATTATGGCGTAATTTTGTGAAATTGAAGTTTCGCTAATTACTCGTAATAATTACAAATTTCGCTAAATTAACTTGTAGAAATTACACGAAATGACGGCGTTATTTAGCAAATTCGAAGTTTTGCTAATTATGCGTAATTATTACAAAGTTTAGGAAAATTAACTAGTATTACGCTAAATTACACTATACATAACAAATTTCGGGAAATTACTTTGCAGAAGTTACGCGTAATCCTGCGAAATTACACGAAATGAAAATTATTTCGCGTAAGTGAATAATTTATTTCGTTGGAAACCCTATATTGAATAAAATATACAATACAAGTTTTAAGTGTAATAATGACTGTAATATAAACCTGGACAACGCCAGGTTCTCCGCGAATTTTTTTTTAAAATCCGCAAAATTTTTTTCTTCTTTGTTTTAAAATGTAAACAAAAAGAACATGTTCACAGTTTAAATAGAAGATGGGCGCGAAACGCCCTAAAAGCCTAGAAAGAAGGGCGCGAAGCGCCTTTAATTTCTAGTGCCATAAAATTCAATAAAATATTAGGGTTTTTGGGGTTATCAAAATACCTTTAGTGCTAGAACTTTCAAAAAGAACATCTACATTTTCTTAAAGTGATAGTTGAACTTTTTTTTTGGTGGGGGCTGTTTTGAATTTCTTTTATTAAAATTGCTACAAAGATTGATATGTGACAGGTGCTATAACATCTATTTTCAAGGGCTTTTCAAACATATGTAAGTTTTAAATCTGTAGCCCAAATAATAAAAAAGTAATTGACTTTTTTCAATGAAGGTTCCTGTTCTAGAAAAAGGAACGATCAACATCATTAATTTTCTTTTTTGCTAACACTTTTCGACTGAAACCGTTCTTGATCAAGAACACAAAGAACGGAACAGAAAAGGGATGGAACGATTGAAAAAATAACGAGGAATGCAATGATCCAGCTGAAGGCACTCGTTATATAACAAGGAACAAAAGATTTTAATAAACGGAACACATCCAGCCCTACAGTACTGTCCCCGTTGTCTCAGATATAGTCTATAATCTGTAATTACAGTTTGCTTCTGTTGCCTAAAAGTCGGCTCGGTACATAAAATTAACCAGAGTCTACAGACTTCAATAATATTGCCTTCAAATAAAGCATATTTTGCATCTGTTTTTTTGATTTATTTCTCATTGTGAAATAATCAATATTTAGTGAATTAACAACGAACATTGATCAGATTTATTGTGGAATTCAAGAAATCCTTAAAATCAAAAATTTGATTTAAGGAATTGAGTTTTTGTTACAAACTCTCATTTTCTAATCTCTATATATTTGCAAGCTCTACACCATCAGGTTGCAAATATAAAAGTTATATAAGATTTTACTTTGTCGCAAAAAAATAATATTTTAGAGTTTGATTATTCAGGTTTCACATTCTTCCAGGATTCTTCCACATATTGGTTCTGTGGTCAAGTTATTAAGTTATTAACGATGGAATTTATTAAATCTGACCTTCTTTCAGATTTTTCAATCAAAAGATCTTTAGGTCGTCATTGTTAGCCTAACTCTTTGGGGGTATTCCATGTATCTATGTACTGTATGTAAATATATAAACTTTTTGATTGGGAATTAAGGAAATAAAGATATCTATTAAATCTTTTATAAATGAAAATTTAAGTTTCTAATTAATTCCATTCCAAAGTTCTCTGAATCAAATCTTGCATTTTTCAGCTCTATAATTTTGAAAACGAATTTGTCTGGCCTATGTTACCACCCCCCCCCCCCGGGAAACCCAGGAGTTCCATAAAAAAAATTCAGCCCATTTAAGTTCCAGCCGTTTGGCCATCCATAGCCATGACATAAACATATAGAGCTTTATTATATAGACGATACACTAAAAATAAATAAATAAAATAAATAGAGTTTATTATGATAAAAATCCCAGGATTAACATTCATATAAAATAAGATTATACATTTTAAATTTGTCATATTGGTAAAAGCATATGTTTATCTATTACAATTATCTATTACTTTTCGGTAATCTTTAGATATAAGGTATACATGATCTCCTTAACCTCTCCGTACTGGCTTGAATTCTGAATATTCTGTGTATATTTTGAGCTGAAAACTTTAGAATGAGATATCCTTAATCTGAGTATCCAATGGACACACTTTTGATTTTCTTCTTAAATCGTTCTTTCTTGGATATAGTAGAGAAACATCAAAAACCGGTTTTTTCTAAATCGGAGAGTTCCTTTGATTGCTGTATATAATCTTAAATGGCGCGCAAAATTTCAAATTTATCGGCTTCATATACGCGACTCTGATTGGTTGAATTTTATACACTTTTCAGGATACAAGTACAACATTAGATTAGTCGCGATATTAAGAAAAAGAGAGGATCACGCATTAATCTTGATATCCACCATTTTAAAGTTTTCAGCTCTGTATATTCATGATGGTATCTTTCTTTATTCCCCACGATACTAAAACCATGAAACCATGAAACCATGAGACTATGTGGATTTTCTTGTTTTTATTTCAGTTGTTCGTCTCACTCGAACCCATACAGTAAAATACAAAACATTATATTCAATCCTTAGAACGGGTTTTAAGTTAATATTACATTTCTAATAAAGTGTGAGGTTATATACATAAACAAAGTTTAAGATCGTATAAAATATTAGGTTTTCTAACTAAGTGATAAATTTTCTAACAAAATGAAATGAGTTCTAATAAATTGAGAGAGGTTTTTAGAAATAGTGGTATTTTTATTTAATGATGGGAGTTCTAATAAATGATGGGAGTTCTAATAAATGATGGGAGTTCTAATAAATGGTTGGAGTTCTAATAAATGATGGGAGTTCTAATAAATGATGGGAGTTCTAATAAATGATGGGAGTTCTAATAAATGATGGGAGTCCAATAAATGATGGGAGTTCTAATAAATGATGGGAGTTCTAATAAATGATGGGAGTTCTATCTAATGATGGAAGTACTAAAAAATGATGAGAGTTCTATTTAATAATGGGAGTTCTATTAAATGATGGGAGTTTTATTTAATGATGGGAGTTCTATTAAATGATGGGAGTTCTATTAAATGATGGGAGTTCTATTTAATGATGAGAGTTCTAATAAATAATGGGAGTTCTATTAAATGATGGGAGTTAGAAGTTAAAAAGAGAATTTCTTTTTATAAATTTATTAATTTTTAATTTTTTCAATCCGGTAAACTTTTTTTATTTTATTTTTTTATTTTTGTCTGATGCAATTTTTTTCAGAGAAATTTAGAAATTTAAAATGTATGCATTACACTTTTGTATAATTCCCTATGTTCTATCATTTTGGTAAATATAAATATTTTAAAATTTAAATCAAAAGTAAATGATTCAATGGTTACATGACAACTTTTATTTTTCATTGAGGTTTTTTGCGTTAATTTATAATTGATTATAATTAATAATAGTAGGCAATTTCTTAAAAATTACATTTGCTCATATTTTGTCTTCCTCATTTGGTCTAGGTAGCCTACATGAAATTAAATTAATCACAGAATATCTTTTGTTAAACCTTCAATTGTAGTTTTTTTTCATAATAATCTTTCATATGAAAAAAAACTTTAAAAAAATGAAGCTCTGTAAATTAAATTGATGTTTTCATTACTTTAGATTGGTTTGAAACAATTCCCAACCCTATTCTCTCTCACTGGAGTCACATAATTTTCTTCTCAATATAATTGCGCAATTAATTTATGCAGTTTAAAACATAAACGTGTAGCTAGGGTCACAATTTAAAACAGGCTTTCAATCCTAAAAGCTCAATCATTTAAATAAAAATATATATATTTAAAGATTATAATGATAATATAAGCAAAAAATGAGGTTACCCTACTAGGTAATGATCCGATCTTTTACTATATATAACCTTCACTATCGAATTGATTAAAAATGAACAAAGTACAAAAACAGTATATAAAAACAAGAACTGGATTTTCTTGCATAAATGTTCTAATCTATTTGCATAAAGTTCATCAAACTCCTGAACAGTAAACATTGTAGTTGTCTGTATCTATGGCCCTTTTTTCTTTCAACAAATAATGAGAAAAAAGTATGACAATCCATTAACTTTTTTCTGAGGGCAACTCAAAATCGATTAAAGTTAATTTTATCTTTTTAAGTAAAGTATTATTTGATTCTGGGTCCGTCCTAGAGAACGATTTTTAGACCACCCCGGCCCCCCCCCCCTCCCCTCCTATCAATTTTGTACATGACCACAGACCACTAATTGTCAACAAAATTTGTATTATTTATTTTTATCATTTTAGGGTTAGGTTAAATTAAGACAATTTTTGGGCCGAGCGCTGCGTCTAGGACAGGCTAGGGGGCTGAGCGCTGCGACTAGGAAGGCTAGGGGGCCGGGGTCACCTGACCAATAATATCAATGTTTTGTATATGTGGGGGGAGGGCGCAAGGGGGGGGGGGTTCAAAAATTGTTCTCTATGAAATTACCGTTATTTTATTAATTCAGATTTGAATGAAATAAGTCCAATTTCCGGAGAAGTACATTTTACAAAAGAATTTTCGGATATTCGGATATTAATTTGATTTAATTTAATCATTCACTATACTGAACAACAAAAAAAGGTATTAAAGGGACAGACCGGCAATGTAATTGGTATTTTAAAGATCTGTAAATCCTGAGTTTGAGTTTGACATTCAAAATCATCCTTTTGGGTGGATACGTTTTCAGAATTTTTTTTTTTTATTAAATAATGACTACAAAAAAATGTGTACACAAAGTAAACTAATTAGTTGTTTAAGAACATGTTTATAACATAATTAACTATTATAATCGAAAATAAGTAATTTTATTTAATTATTAGTTTCTATAATCTCTCTTTAAATCACAAAGATTTTCTGCAGATTTTCCAGAATTTTTATTAAACAGACGACATTTGAATAATTTAAAAAATCTGCGAACAAATTCATAGAAAATAAGAAATTCAATATAATGATGAAAAAGGAAATAATTAATTCTAACTTCGATTTATTGACAAATTTCTTTTGAGATATATGTTCTTAAACATCAAATGAGAATTTATTAATTATAGAATTTTTACTATATTTTCGTTGTCGTTATTTATTAATTAAAAAAAAACGATTTTGAAACTACCTACCCAAATTCATGATTTTGAACGTCCGCTATGCGCTCAAACTCAGTAATTATACATCGTAGAAACGTTTTATATATCTCAAATGAATCCTAAAAAATTTGTCCACAACACTGCATACTCTTACATAGCTAGCCGGTCTGTCCCTTTAAGTATTTCTTCCTCATTTTTCTTTGTAAATCGTATTTAGCGACCATAATATTTTGCAATTTTTTTATTATCTCGTAAAGAATATATCAGGATAGTTTTTTCTAAACCTAAAATTCGGTGATGGTGATGGACCAAACTTCTGTAGAGTATATGTTAGTTCCTCATTTATTGAAAATATATTTCGATCTGTGTTGACCCTCGTCAGATAACGATAATAACCATCTTGAGATTGTTTTTGTCACAAAGATTAAAACAAAATTAAAATGTCCAGGACAAAATAAAAAATCTTTTCTGAACTTCTGTATTTATATTCATGTTGAACATTAATTAGGACATATTAATTAAATAATTAAATAATTAAATATTAGGTTACTGCTGGTTGGGCAGGGAGCTCCCCAACTGATAAATCTGATTGATCATTAAATATTAGGTTACTGGCTGGGCAGGGTAGTGAAGGTGCTCCGGCTGCTACCCAGTGGGTTGATAGATCTGATCCTGATCCATGTTCCAGGGGCCTAGCATGTGTTCCTTTTACCAGGTAAAAAAAAATTCAGTTTTAAAAAACTTTTCCTACGTTTATATTTTTTGTATTTTTTATTTGTTTTTTTTTTTGCGTGAATTTGTATTTTTATAGCTTTTTGTGGTATTGTAAAATTTGCACAAGGTAAACAATATTGAATCATCAATTTGTGTCTGTTTAACATTGGGAGCTTTGCTTTCACTTTTCTAGTTATATTTTTAATTAGTATTGTATTTGCCGCAAACATTTATTTGTGTTAATATTTTTATTTTTTTTTATACTACAGTCAATCTTACATATAAGAATACATAGCAAGAGCGCTTGAAATGTCGTCTTGAAATTTATTTAAAAATTTATGACTGCTGTAATGCTTCATCATTGGTCTGCACAAAAAGAAAGCATCGCAGCTTCAAGGGGTTGAATTTGATTTGTGAAAAAATATCCAAATATCATGTAGAGGCTAGGGGGCCGACCGCTACGGCCACATTTATCAAAATGACAAAGTTATAGCCGATATGTGGGGTTATGTTAGGTAAAGACATTTATTGTGCGTCCGACCTACAGAAAGATTACTTAATATTACTGTATTCGACCTACAGTAGGTCGAATACAGTGACTTGTTGGTGCATCCAACCTACAAAAGTTGTCCGACCTATTAAAGTTGTGCATCCGACCTACAGAAGAGTGCAACCAACTTGAGAAAGCTGTGCTTAACCGACATATACACTAGGTCGGATACACTTAGTTATTTTTTAATGACGTGTGTATCCGACCTACAGTACATCGAACCAACAGCAGTTTGAAGCTGCTGAAAAACCACGTGCGGGTATCGTCCGAATATCGTAGGGCGGATGTAACGTTGGGCGGATGTAATACAATTCATAGATGATCAAAAGTTTCATTAGGCTTTAAAAATGGCGTACTTTTTAAATTAAACCTGAAATATCTAGATGTAAATGGATGTGTGATGCAGCCAGAGATGGACTTCTTACAACAAATAAAACAGTAAGATTATAAACTATAATAGATGATAAACATAGAGATGGGCATATTCAACTTTTTTTTTATTTCGTTCGTTTATTGTTCGTAAACGACCCATTTCGTTCGCTTTTTTTAAATAGTAAAACAAATTTATTTGTTTGTGCTCAAAATTTTCCGTCCTTTTCCATCTATTTCGTTCGTTTTTTCACTGAAAGATCGTTCATTCCTTAAATTGTTCGTTCAGTCAAAAATACCAACGATTTTTCAAAACAAGTTTTGAAAAAATCGTTTGTTCAGTAAAAAGCTATCGCTATTTCAAATTCTTTTGAAAAATTCGTTTTCTTTTTGTTCTTTTTTAAAAAACGATAATTTTTTCAGTTTGTTTTAAAGATCCATTTCGTTCGTCCATGGTTCATTATTTTACCTGAACAACACCCTTTTTAACTAAAATTTAGTTTATTCTCAAAAATTTTGTTCATTCAAAATAACGATGCCCATCTCTAGATAAACTACATTGTTAAAGATTAGTTTTTGTTTCACATGTTTAGTACCAGGAAGTTGTACAAGAGAGGACCTGTGGCTTTAATTTTGAAGACCATTCTTCAGGTAAATTTCTACACTGTTGCAAGCTCTCACGCACAAATTGATGAAAATATTGCCACTTTCTTGTTTGAAACTCAAGCTCAAAGAAAAGTACTGTACAGTTCTATTAATTTTCGCAATAGTTGTTCCAAATCGATTGATGATAAGTTGGCATTTAAAAAACCAGGTGGCGCAAAGGCTAAAGTTGCGCTATTGTGCTGGGTACCGAAATGGCACCCTTAATTTCTAAATAGAGGATTCATATAATTTGATTTTAAAAATAAAAAAACGGGAATAATTTACGGTGATTCCGACTTTATTATTATATTAAAGTTTAAATTTTCATTATAATTTAAAAAATGTATAATTTCTTTGAAACCTAAAATACAAAAGACTCTTTGAGGTAACTGTTTGTGTTTTCATAGTTCTAATTTCTAAGATAGATCCATTGAAAGCTGTGCACAACGGTACCCCTAAAAGTTTTTTTCTGACCAAAAATAAATAGTTGCGGTAACTCTATGCAACAGAAACAACAAAAAGAATTTGCCCTTAAAAGTGACTGTAAGCGTAATTTCCAACAAGGCTATAACAGGGTGTCCCAAAGAGCTTTGTAATGTAAAGAGAAGGCATTGGGATTTACACGCAAAACCAGACCAGACGCCTCAATTGGGTTCAATAAGAATCCATAGAATGTCGTCTTTTCTATAATTTAAAAAGATATTAGGACTTTTTAAGCATTTCCATCACAAGAAAACTTCCGTTTTTACGTAATTTGTCGTTAGAAAATGCCATCTTTGCACGGAGGGCCACTTAAAAATTACGATCACAGTTCCTTTAACATAAGCAGTTTGTTTAGTGAATGTCTGCTGTGAGGATGATAGTGTATCAGAATCTAAATACTGTGACATGGACGAACCATCTAAACAGGTATCATCGTTGTCGTATATATCAATAAAATGAAGACGACTTTTTATCAAGCTTTTATTCAATATAGATATACATAAACATGGAAACAAAAATTGTAAACAATTCTAATGTGAAAAGAGCTTTTTAGAAAGAAAAGTCGTCTTTATAGTATTGGAGGTATAAACGCCGGCCACTATATAATATTGCTATTCATAATGCTGCCCACATTCCGATATATATTGTTTTATTAAGTTCGACCTTAACAACTGTGCATTTGTTGTTATGAAGCAAATTGTTGTTTTTTTTTCGCAGCTTTAAAAGTAACTTATTACTTATTAGGTAAAATATGTCTGTGTACAGGGTGTATGCATCATTTGTCGTGTTCATTAAAATCAAAATTGCTGATTGGCTGAGCTTAAAATTATGAATTTTTTTTGCATTCCTTAAATCGTAAAGGAATTGAGTTTTTGCCACAAATCCCAATTTTTTAATACCTATATCTCAACAACCAGATGATGCATACCTTTCATATTTCAAACTTACATTGTTTGATCCACCAGAATTGATAGTTTAAAATATCTACGGTCTACGACATTTGGTTTTAAAGAAATTAGGTTTCAAAAATCAGAGTTTGTGGCAAAGACTCAATTCCTTTCGCGGAATTCTTTTGCAATTTTTAGTGAATTTGTGGAAAATTTTGTTGTTTTTTTTCACGAAATTCAGCATCGTTTTCGCTTCTCTTCGCAAATTTTGTTTTCTGGAAACCCTACTATGAAAGCATCTCTGACTCACATGGTAACTATAAAATTTTGCCCTGACCAAGAATAAAAGAGATATTTGTGGTATTTATCTCTTTTAAAAGTTACTTGCTGGATTATGTCTAAGAAATAAAAGAGGACATTATAACTTTTTAATAATATGTTAGCTGGAAAAACGACGATATCTTCCATATTACAGAGCAAACAAAGTTTTTAAAAGACTCTTTGAATGGAGGATCATTTCAAATCATGCGTACAGTCCCTTTAAGGTTAAATCTGAGTGTGGTATGGAAGGAGGACAACTGAGTTTCTTTGATGAGCGGGTAGTGGGAGGAGACGATACTGTTCCTGGAAAATACCCCTGGACGGTTCTTCTCAGGTCCTTTAACATTCTCATTTCTACAGGAAATTACAGAAAAAAAACATGAATAATATTATATTTATTATTATAATTGTCAGGTTTCAGAAAAGCATAGGAATTATTATTATATATATATTATCTTTATAATTGTCATTTAACTGTAGAAAAATTATCGAAAGCCCTGTAATTATTTCTTTTTTTCTGAAACACCCATAATAGCACATATTTAAAATGGCCATATGATCGTAATTTTTTAGAATATGTTTTTTTAAAATATTTAGATAGTTAGCTAATATTCAACCAATTAATGATTAACTTTCCATCCAACGGATTAATGTTGCTAACTTTAATATCAATAACAAGAAGATTCTTCCCAAATCCCAGTCTGACTTTAAAAAGGAACCAGGGTTTAACGTAGCAATTTCATACACCTCGGCGTTTTAACGTGACGCCATTAAAAAAACATGAAATCGACCGATAAAAAGTCCTAAGCCAAAATGGAAAAAACTTGCCTGTGATACTTGAATTTTCTCATCTTTTACGTTATAATTTGTAGATTTTGTTGGTGCAATCTAAATTATGTAATTGGCATACAATGGTTTCACAATGGTTACAATTTGGTTGACTGATGTGTAGTTTTATGAATGTTTACAATGTTTAAACAATGCTGTGTTTTAGTTTGTTTATTGTTTACTCTGTTTCTTGTATTTTAAATTCTTATATTGTAAATAGGGAGGAGNCATTATGAAATGTGATAATTTGAAATACCAATTCACAAAGAAATATTTTTCCCTCACGATTTGATTTTTAAATACGATCTTTAGTGCATGAACATATAGTCTAATTTTTTATCTAAACATATCTTTTTATATTTCCGTACCTGCGACTACTGTTTCGTTCCTACTATTCAAACCAATATCCAATTTAGCAAAATTTCACGTGTATATTGGTGAATTTTTAAAATTGAGTTCCTTTAAAAAAAGTGAGTCCCATTGGCTCATTCGTATAAAATACACATAAGGGAGTGAGTAAAATATCAGGATTAGAGTTGTTTTACAGCACACTATAAAAGTGTTTAAAAAGAGTTATTACAAAAAATCCGCGAAAAATATCAGCAAAAATCTGCTTCAAAGTTTGTTTTTAATCTTTGTGACAGAAACAATCTCAAAAGCTGACGAAGGTCAACCCAGACCGAAATATGTTTTTAATAAATGTTGAACTAACATCTACTTTTTTTACTCTACAGAGGTTTGGTCCATCACCATCACCGAATTTTAAATCTGCTTTAAATCTTTCAAAATCTGACAAAAAATTAAAAATGGAATTTTTCTGCTCAAAAAAATTTGTCATTGTGAACGGTAAATAGAAATTTTTTATGTCTTATTTCTTGGGAATTGATTTACAAACTACACCAACATTTTTTTGTGCATCTTTTGTTGTTGTATTATATCTCTCTTACTTTCATGTGTCAATTGATTTTTATAAAATTTTGGGAACCGATTAGCAGAAATATTTTCCGATTCAATTTTGAAGAATTTTTTTTACAAAAATTTGTTTACCGTTTTTTCTGAAAACCAAAAAATTATCATTTTGATGAGTATATTTTAATATATATGAGCCTTAACATTAACTCTACAAATAAATTGTGTGATTATTTAAACAGCGTTTGTCTATATATATGTAGATGTCCGGAATGGAATCATTGCAGAGGTTGTTTTCAACAAAAACAATCTTGCAACAACTCACCTTACAATCTGCATATTTAAGGGATGACGGGGAACATTATCTGTGTGGTGGAGCAATCATTTCTCGGAAACATATTGGTTAGTTCTAGTTTTCTTTAAAGGAGTTGTAGACGTACTTTCGTTTAAGAGTTATACTTAATTGCAGGACCAAAAACCCTTTAAACAGAATTATTGAACCTGTCGTAAAATTGATTATTTTCACTGTGGGTTTTCTGTAAAATATCTGTGGATAAAAGCATAAAAGACAAAGAATGAAACCGATAGCAACACGTTTTAAGAAACAACACACGTTTTCTTGAGATTTAGGGGTTTTCCGTTCACAATAACCCTGAGGCAGAAGCCTAAAGATCAGGCTCTCTCTCTGTTTTGTAATTGATTGCTGCATGCGTGTAACTCCTTTGGGCTCTGCCTCAGGGTTATTGTGAACGAAAACCCCTGAATCTTGGGAAATACGACATGGAGTGTTCTATCTGTATTGTTATTAATATATGATAAGAATATAATGTTTTTAGTTACCGCTGCTCATTGTGCTAAGTCTGAGATTACAAATGCTGTGATTGGAGAAACTAATCGAAAAACCGAATATGATTGTTTGTATCCAGGTACGTACATTGAACACCCAGAAAGGGTATCAAAACCCGAATATGATTGTTTGTATCAAGGTACATTGAACACCCTGAAAGGGTATCAAAAACCGAATATATGATTGCTTGTATCCAGGTACATTGGACATTGAACACCCAGAAAGGGATGAACAGATTTCCTCCCCTAATTTCTAAACATTCCTAAACCTTGTACTAAAATTGAAATAAAAAAAATCCAGATTATTTCTGTATGTGAACTGGAAACAGGAATTTCACTAGAATCTCCCATGGGCCATGACAGCTCTGCAAGATATAAATAAAATTTATAGTCGCATATTGCTTTAAAATTAGTAATTGGTAAAATTCTGATCGATTTTTGAGTAAAATCATCTCATTTTAGATCATTTGGAATATGAACAGTCCCATCTCAGGGTAGAGATATGATATAACTTAACTTCAAAAAAATTTTTCATTAAAAAACCTCTATTTATTTTACTAATTTTACTTAACACATAAAAACTTAATTAACATTGAAATATATTTTAATCTTGATCTTGTTAAATTAAAAGTTTCTCATTCTTACTCAAACTTTCCAAACTAATTTCATTTAAAGGGACTGTAAGCGTAATTTCAAGTGACCCTCCAAGCAAAGATGACAATTACCGATTCACAACAGTACCCTTAAAAACTTTGTCTGATTGAGTATGATATATTAGATATCTAAATTTATAATTTTAAAATCTGATTATTTTCTATTGTGGTTTCTCTACAAAAGTGACTTGTGCATTTTTACTCTAGGATAATATTTAGGATAAAAAAAAACTTTTAGACCTAAAAAACGACATTACATATCACATTATTGATCAGATAAAGGATTCAAGGGTACCGTTGTGAATCGGGCATTGCCTTCTTTGCATAGAGGGTCACTTGAAATTACGCTTACTGTTCCTTTAATTTAGGAGACCCCTGTTCTGGTGACGAGGAATGCTTCAAGTCTATGAACTGTGCTCCAAAAGCTATCTTCAGAGAAATTAAAGAGGTAGGTACACAGAACAGAGCTGGGAACCTTTAAATGGTGGATATCGGGGATTAATGCTTGATACACTCTTCCTCTTAATCTCCAGATTATATCATGATTGTTCTCCTCTTGTTATCAATCTCCAGATTAATTAACCGATCGGGATTAAGGATATCCGATTCCAAACTTTCAGCTCTGGCAACTTTTGATATTTTGTTAATCTACAGATTGATTTAATCTTTATCTGATATTTCGCATGGTAATCGTTGTAGTCAGGGGATGAAGGGAGCTGTGATCAGAGAAGAAATAACTAAAATGAAGAAATGGAAAGGTCTGTTTTAATATAGATTCTAAAATTAAAAGTGACCACATGTATATCGAGATCAGGATTATGATTTTTAAAAAAAACAAAAGTTCCCAGCTCTGAGTTGAACACTTTAGAATGGGATATCCTTAATCCCGATCGGTTAATTGTCTGGAGATTAATAAAAAGAGGAGAACAAGCAATATTTAATTTGGAGATTAAGAAAAAGAGTGGATCAAACTTTAATCCCAATATGAACCATTCAAAAGTTCCCAGCTCAGAACAGATAACAAGGAAATATATGCTGAGCCTGTAAAGTTTTCACATTGTTGATGTTGGCTCCAAAAGCATTTACAAAGTCTAGCAATTCTTTTAGATTTTTGAGATTTATAGAAAATTTAGGGCTAATAGTCTTGAAGCAAATAGGACACCCATCAATAATTAATGCATGACAACATTAATCCTCATTTCTCTGATTTTTCTGTTTTCATTTGTAGATTTCTAAATTGTTTTTGAAACAATATTTCATCTTTATTTCTAGCGGCCTAGAATCGAGTACGTCAAGTCATTTTTATGTCGCTTATTATATACAAACAAACAAACACTCAGACCATGTCAAAAAAAATGAAATTTTAGTTTAGTGAACTATGCTTCCTAAAAGTAATAAGGATAAATCTTATTTTCATTATTAGTAAAGAAGATACAAACGCATATTATTTGAAGAATTTTTTTGATTTATCAGAATTCAATACCTATTTATGTCATTGTAATGGGTATTATAATTAAGTGCGAAAAAGTATTTGCCGGGATTTTGATTGTTGTTTATTTGCTTTATTTTGATCGAAAACAACAAAGAAAAAGTAAAAATCTCAGCAAAAACTGTTTTAAGCACGCATAATACCCATATTACAATATTATAAATAGTTTTATTCGGTTTTACTCTATTTATTTATAAGCAGGACTATACAGTTACTTAATCACCCTGTTTTAAGGAGATAAAGTCACAAAATCCCCCTACAACGGAAAATATTAGATATAAAAATTGAAATTTTAAGTGGAGGTTAAAAAAGTTACTTTTTCGCCCTGTTGTAAGACACCTATTCACCCTACAACGTGAAATATTAGGTGTGATAAATTCCCTCAAAATTGAATGAAAATTATACTGATTTGTAATATTTTTGTAGAGAATAATACACCCCGAGTACAATCCAAGCTTGGCTACTTCTGAATTTGATATTGCTGTAATCATCATCGATCCAATTAAATATGATCAGGTATTATCTTTTCTTTAAACTAAACATAATTTGAATTGACCCTCCATTTAAAGAGGAAGTTTCAATCTCAAATTTCTTAGTTGTAACTGCAGCCTGAATTAGCAAATCACAGAGAAACCAAAATTAAAAAATCAATTTTAAACTAGAAAAATAAGAATATCTGATTAATCAGAGAAAGTTTTAAATGTTACCATTGTAAATAGGACATGCATTAATGGCACTCTATAATTGGAGGGGAGCTTGATATTACAGAATCTATATTTTATTGATTTTAAATCTAAGAATAATCTATATTTCATTGATTTTAAATCTAAAAGTAATCTATATTTCAGTGATTTCAAATCTAAAAATAATCTATATTTCATTGATTTTAAATCTTAAAATAATCTATATTTAAGTGATTTTAAATCTAAAAATAATATATATTTCATTGATTTTAAATCTAAAAATAACATATATTTAAGTAATTTTAAATCAGAAAATAATATATATTTCAGTGATTTCAGATCTTAAAATAATCTATGTTTCATTGATTTTAAATCTAAAGATAATCTATATTTAAGTAATTTTAAATCTAAAAATAGTCTATATTTAAGTAATTTTAAATCTAAAAATAATCTATATTTAAGTGATTTTAAATCTAAAAATAATCTATATTTCATTGATTTTAAATCTAAAAATAATATATATTTAAGTAATTTTAAATCTAAAAATAATCTATATTTCAGTGATTTTAAATCTAAAAATAATCTATATTTCAGTGTTTTTAAATCTAAAGATAATCTATATTTCATTGATTTTAAATCTAAAAATAATATATATTTCAGTGATTTTAAATCTAAAATTAATCTATATTTAAGTAATCTTAAATCTAAAAATAATCTATATTTCATTGATTTTAAATCTAAAAATAATCTATATTTCAGTGTTTTTAAATCTAAAAATAATCTATATTTCAGTGATTTTAAATCTAAAAATTATCTCTATTTCAGTGATTTCAAATCTAAAAATTGGCTGAAATTTTTTAAGGGAATCCTTGCGTATCCCAGGGATTAGAAGGGCTAACATTTTTTTTTCAAAATTCAAATTTTTTTCTTTCAAAAAAGATTTCTATTTCAGTGGGCTAAACCTGTGTGTCTGCCAGACATTGTAAATTATAACCCTGTTCAGACTTTAAAAGAACAACTGATTATGGCAGGTGAATTGTAAAACGTAAAAAATAGGTAATCCACTAACTTTAGTTTAAAAAAAACGTTAAGATCCAGGGTGTCCCAATAAACATGGGAATTACGAGTTAACCTTTAAATCGTCTTTGATTCCCGATAGTTGAAAAATGACAAAGAGTGCAGAAAATAAAGACAGAATATCTTATGAGATTTAAAAATTTGGTCTGAAAAGAAAATATAAACAGAAAATTACAAATTAACGAACCACTTGAAGGCACATTACTATTTACAGGTTGGGGAAATAAACAGGACTCTCAGAAAAGCCGGCAACAAGAATCTGCTACTATTCTGCAAAGTCTAGCTTTACAGTAAAATGTTATCTAATATCTTATTTATCTGGATTGGAACTGGTTAATTTGGTGTAGTGTCCCGTTATACCTGGTATCAAGGTTATAATGCAAGGAAAGTTAATTGTAGCGTTTACTCTGCGTACATATTGCATCAGTCTTCGTTTAGTATCTGGGGAGGATAAAAGAATGATTTTTTTTACGTTTTGATAATTCACATGATAGTTTTCTATGGCCAGAATATTTCATTGATTTTTTATGTGAAAGATGGATCACATATCAGGCTGTGACACTGACATCCGTCTTTTGTTTACATTACCGCCCAGAGACATTACGCTGCAGTTCATAAGATGCGTACACCTCTGTAATAACTTTCCTTGCATTATAACCTTGCCTGGTATAATCTGTATGTGTACTGTACAGCACCCTCTAGCTGGTCAGATGTCCCGGTTCTTGAAATGAATAGGACTTAACAGTGGGTGTAAACCAAAGAAAATAGAATATATATTACAGTGAAATTTAAACCATCCCTCGGTATGAATTTTTTCAGTCCCTTTCAACCTGAAAGAGAGTTCAAAGTGCACAAATCATGTAAATGTTAAAAAATTATATGCAGTAGAGTACATTAATACAGTATGTTCCCCAAACTATCCATTTCATTTTCGAATTTTTTTAAGCTGGTAAATAAACTTTATAAAATGAATTAGGTGAATAAAAAACATCATTTGATTTATAGTTATAACGGAAAATCATCGTTTGTAAAATGAAAGGCATATAGAGTCTATGTGAAATAATCATTGGTCAATTATGAAACCAGCCTATTTCATAATTTTTTTTAAAATATTAATTTTAGATTTTCTATAAAATAATGTTCCAGGGCCCAAAAGGTTATATAGCACAAATATGTGAAGTACACCTGCGAGTCTGCGGTATGGAAACAGTACAACAAAATGGCTGTTTTACACTTTTTTCTAGTAAATTCCCCTCTAATATATATTCTATTCTCTTTGGTGTAAACCTTGGATATTCAAAACTTTGAATTTTTGATCAAGCAGAATTCTTTTTTTGAAATATCAAAGGCACACCGTCACACGACATTAGATAAAAGAAAAATATAGAATGAGGCGAGTGTTCAGATTTTTTCGTATTATAGAGTTTATAGACGCTTCCAAGGAACTATATAAAGGAACGCCCAACTCAGATATACGCATATTATGTACTGTACACGTGGGATAACTGTAAACAAACCTGCAGTGCCCCTCCTCAAAAGTTGAAGTGAAAGGACTACAGCTCTGATGTGATATTACAGTCTAACAAAAAAAAACAAGTTAATACATCAAGTTAGAGAGAATACTTGATTTTTGGCTTTCTGGTCAATATGGAAAATACAATAGCAATATATTCTTATTCCACCCTTTGGGCCCTTTTCCCTCAAAAATGATGTGTTGTCCCTGAATTCTTTGTTTTGATCTCCTCCCACTGCAGTACACAGATTTGACGCATGAGATATGGCGGTTCCTGGTCTATATATTTCTTGGACGCTTCTAACAGAAGCTGAGGAGATTTAATCTTATAATTCAATTATGTTCCTCATACAGGGCGTCCCAATAAATATGGGAATTCATGTGACGATTTTGATATCTTCTTTGTAAATGATTTTTTGATTTAGGTCGCCAATGGCTGATAGGAAAGCTTTAATCCGTCTGCTAGAGTTCAGAATTTGTTTGATACAGGGTGTCCCAAAAAACATGGGAATTCAGTGACGAATTCGATATAGTCTTTGTTATGAATTAGCATTGCAATACCTAATTTCAAAAGCCATAATATTATTATGTCTGCTAGAGTTTATTTTTTGAAAACGGTAAATGGCTGTAAAGATGTGTCTATAATGTCTCCGCAAGATGAATAGTGAAGACGGACAAGTTTACACTGTTTGTATACTGTAATTTTCTTGTTTTACTAAGTACAACCGTATGCAGTCAAAACATAAACAAACAAAATGTCAACATAGCAGACGAAACTCTTACAGATTACAGCTTTCTCACTATACTAAATCAAAGAGTTATTTAAAAAGACGATATCGAATTCGTAACTGAATTCCCATGTTTATTGGGACACCCTGTATGTTTTTATTGGATACTGTATTGTTCCTAATAACATCAGAAATTCGTGTAAACAAGCACAGTACAGTTGTTTCTCTTTGCTGTTTATCATACAGAAATGTTAAAGAACATCATACAACGTTTTGCAGAATAACAAAATAGTCTTTTACTGTTTACATAAAATATACTCTAGCAGACGCAAATAGATTATCAAGGGCAACAGAGAAATGAACCATTTTTACACAACGTCACAAGTGTCAAATATAACAAGCAAAACGAAATTTGCTCACACTAATTGACATGTTTTCCAAGATTAAATAAAAACGTGTAAAAACAGAAAATAAAGAACACTATTTTACTGCAAGAAAAAATTTATTCTAAAATTATCACTATTCTTAATAATTTTGTCGGACACAAAATTTATACACACAATTTATAAACTAGCAAAAAAAATACATTTGTAAAGAAATCTAACATAAAAAACTATTTGCAACTGCAAGATCAATTTTTACGGACTACTGTTATCCTGTAATTAAGAGAAATATATGCTGATAGTGAAGACAATTTTGTGGGCCCTTGGGCACGCAAAATTCAGTCATTTTGAAGTTACAAAAGTTACAAATAAACTATGCGATCCATTTGTGAGTGAATGCAAAATCATAAATCTGTTAATAAATTCTGATTCATACATTTTTTAGAGATTTAGGAGCTGATGCTTGTCAGAAAGCCCTCAATTACAACATTACAGGTTGTTTTAAGTTACTCATACATTTTTTATTGAAAAATTGCTAAAGATATTAGTCAGGCAAAGGAACTGCAGTTGCTGTGGCAAACAATGGCTAAGAATGTTTTCACTTAGAAAATCTCATTCAGTAAAAAATGACATTCAGCTAAAATGACGTACACTGTCTACGCTAATGAATTTAAAATTTTCGTCTAACAAAATTTGAGATGCTTGTGCTCCAATAAATTTTGTTAGATGTAAATTTAAAATTTTTTAGAGTGTGGTTGCAGAAATATTGCAGCGCCGAATTTATAGTTTGACATATGAAAGGTCTTTGAAATCTGAGCTCGCGATTTAAAAAAAATTGGGAAATATGACTTAGGTCTCAGCTGTCTTTGAGACCAATTTGTGACTTGAGCTTTCGGATTTAAGTGCATATAACTTTTCACAGAGTTGGGTTTATTAAACTGTTGTAATAATGTATTTAGGGGGTTTTCATGAATTTTGGGATTTGGTTAGGTGTTAAATAATCGAAAGGTATAACAACAAAAAACGGGGTAATCAACATCCTTGTTGTAGTCATAAAATCACGCACCAATAACAGAAAAATAGTTAAAAATTTCTTTTACAAGTGAAACAAATAAAAGAAGAAAGTTATATTAAACAATGAACTAAATTACCGATGTTTCCTGTGTGTATCTTTGTACCCATGGCTTGGAGCTCATCTAAAGTTTCTGTTCCTGATTACTTCTCAGGACTCAGATCGTCCGCCATAACACATGGGAAGTTGGAGTTGGAGTTTCTCCATCCTCTTTTGAATAGGACTGGTCCCAACTCTGTGTATCCTAGCCAAAAACTCCGCCCTGGAGATTTAAACTCCCGCCCTTCTCTGTTAGTGCAGAATTTGGTCAGCGGCAGAAACAATGGGTCAGTGCAGATAAAGCAGGGTTAGATAACTCCGACCAAAGGAATTGGCTACATTAGAATAACACCCAACGTTGAGCCTAATTTGCCACTAAAACCAACCAAGGTCTGTTTTGTTTGCATTGGGCCTATTTCTGTAAGTAAAGTTTATGGTTTGTTGCTCCCGTTTAGAAAGATATAAAAACTGCAAAACGGGAGTTGGCTCGAAGTATTAATCATTTCCTTTTATTTAGCTAATCAGCTGTGTGGTGGTGTCCCCGGAGGTAAAAGTGTGGGAGCATGCCAAGGAGACTCTGGGTCTCCTCTCATCAGAAAAACAAAGGTAGACTAGGGGAGACTAGAGTAAATGTCGTCGTTCTGTATGAATTAGTGGTTGCAGTTTTTTTACACCCAAGTGTTATAGATCTCGGAAATCAGGAAGTTAAGTTTGGTGTTCAGTGTTTTATGTCAATTATTAAACACTATTCAGGGGATATTAGTTCCAAAACTAACACTTGGCCTATTTCTAACACTGAATGTTGGGCCAAATCTGCAAAGTTATCTTTTTACAGAGTATATATCATTAAATCCAAGACGAGTAGAACAAAATTAAACCATATATCTATAAAAAATGGCTAAAACTATATATTGGAACAATTAATGTCAATTTTAAACTAATAATAAGATGTGATAATTAGTTTTTGATGATTCTTGATTTCATTTTCGAACATATCCCTATTTTGAAACAATTACCGGATTTCAGCTCATGTCGCGTTTTCAGAACATATTCTGGTTTTGGGACAATTACCGGAATTCATATCAATGTCAATTTTCAAGTATGTCCGCACTTATAAAACAAAACATGATTATTTGATAAGGTAAAATATGAACAAAATAGAAAATAAAAACAAACTGTTCTTTTATAATTTAAAAATCATTACAGTATTTAGAAATCAAAATATTAATAGTTGTTCTTACAATATAGATTAAACTAGAAATACGGTAAACTGTTTGTTTAAAACGCTTGAAAATAAATCATCTTTATTCTCTAATTTAACAGATAAAATGTGGAAACTTAGATTCTAGAATTAATATAAAAGTTAATTTAGTTTTCATAAGATAATTTTTGTTTTCAGTGATTTATTTTGTAAGTTATGAAAGTGGTTATTGTTTTAAATTGTGGATTATACTCAAAAACTGGAAAGTGGGTTTTGTCTCGAAAAATGGTTCAAATTCAGGATATTTTCAAAAATGGAAAACCTAACATTGTCTTGAAAACGGTCAAGAGCTTTAATATAAAAAGAACTCCTGTTATATTTTTATTTTAATAAAAGTTTAAAATTGGGGATTTTTGTCCTAATCATGTTTAATAAAATGTTGGTTATAGTTTTTATTATCGACTTTTACTCTGGATATGGGCTGGGATCCCAAAACCTCAGTCTTTCAATTTGTGCCCATTCAGTGTTATAAATGGGCCAAGTGTTAGTTTTGGAACTAATGTCCCCTGCCATTGGTTAATTTTTGTCAATGCAGTTCAACTATGTCTCGCTAATCATGAAACGATCCCAGCAATTGAAAATCAACTTTTACTGTACTGTTGTGCTTTTCGATTATTTGTAAATTAAAATCTTAATCAATGACTTAGTACAGGGCCGACTTTTAACCAGCTAGAGAAAGCTGAACAGTACACAATACGCTATATACGTTCTAAAGCACAACGTGACAGATACGCCAAATGAAATTTGTGAAATTTGTGATACGCCAAGTGAAATTTGTGTTTCTTGCTTTAAAGTTTTTAAATAAGTTTTTAAAAAAGTGTTTGCGGTTGATATATGATTTGATCAATAATAAATGCAATGTAATTTTGCAGACCAACCAATTTGAGCTGATCGGGCTTGTCAGCTTCGGTTTAGATCATGGATGTGGAAACCCTGAAGTAGTGTACACAAGAGTAACAGCTGATCTCGTCAAGTGGATAAATATGGCTGCCTTCAGTTAACCATCTTTAACGGCACTTTAGACGTAATTTTGAAATTACTATTCATTTTTAGAGGGCCATGTCCGATTCACAGGGCTTCCTTTTCAAATCTTAAACGTGTTGAATTCTGACACTCCTTCTTTTTAATCTTTTGCAAATAGTTATAAAGAAACCAAATTTTTAAAAATAGATGTCTTATTTATTGTCTCATTGTCTGGTTTAAATGGTACAATTGTGAGTTTGCAAAGGCCCACTTTAATCGGAGGGTCACTTGAAATTACAAAGACAAATTACAAAGATATATATATGTATATTAGGTTGCTTTGAGGTGACAATTGTTATTTATAAACTCTTTTAAATCTTTGTTTTAAAAAGTTGACAAAATAAAGTTAATAAAATTTATGAATAATTGTATTTCATTAAACACAAAAAAACGTAAAAAAGAAAATAACAGAAAATTTATTAAATTGTTTAATAGGCAAACGCTTTTAAGATTCTTGTTTTATATTGATAGAATATTTTATCTTACACTCAAACTTGCATTGTTTGTTACAACAATGGAACAGTTTTAAATTTAAAACTTTTAAAATTGTCCTTGATAGAAAAGGTTGACTGCAGAAAGGTGACATCCAGTTTTAAGAAGCATATAAAGTAGTAAAGTATGGAAATCCGTTAATATAGGGAAGAACATGCTTTAAGAACTTTATCCTGATTTTTGAATTAAAAAAAAAAATTCATATGCAGTTAATGTTTTTAGGGACTTCTTTTTACAATTCAAAGTTAACAATAATGTCCGCTGCCAGTGCGCTAAAACTCATATCAGGAGGTTTCCAGAAGTATGGCAGACCTTCATGACTCTGTACCACGTGCTCACTGCTCTGGAGCGCGGCTTGCGCCTTTACCATGCTCTCCTTTATTCTATTATCCAGCTGACTCCAGTATTGTTCTGTATCCTCGTTATTTACATTCACACTATCCTTGGTTTCAAGAGAACAGGGGTTAAGATCAATAACGTCTTTATGAATAGTCTCACTCAAGTTCTCAATTGGAATTTTTAGCGTCATTCCTGGTAGGACTGGAGTCTCCATTAATTTGTTCACCATTTTTAGAAGGGAAATTGGAACATCATACCTGAAATGTTTTTCATCAAACACCAAAATAAACAAATGATTTGAATGTGATACATTTTGTATTTAGAGTTACACTTAAAGAATGAGACTTATGGTAACACTTATAGTAATTAACCAGAAAACTGTAGGATAAAAAGACGACATTAAAACAACACTGAAGTGCATTTAGGGTTTCCACAAAATGGCTAAATCTTTTTCGCGCAATTTTTTTTTTGCGAACTTTTGTGCTATTTTTGCACATGAAACGCAATTAGTTTTGTGCGGTTTTGCGCTATTTTTTTGGCGCAATTTGCGCAAAACCGGAAATATTTTTTGCGAAAGTTGCACATGAACCGAAATTTTAGTTTTGTGCAAATTGCGCAAAACCGCAAGTTTAACACAAAATGTAACTTTTTAGGCAAATTGTCAAAAATTAATATTCTAAGCTTAGAATTAAACAACTGAAGATTTATTCCATACAAAAAAAATAATATTAACATACGAGTATGATAACGATTATACAACACTCAATTGGTTACTTCCAGTTACAAAAAGTTTAAATTAAGGGACCAAAATTAATAAAATAGAAATTAGAGAGTGTGAAACTTGGCAATATTTTAATCCTAATAAATAATTTCAAGTGAATAAGGTGCGCGCCCGTGAGATTTGAACTCTTTTCCAGAATTTTTCCAGAATTGAATTCTAAGAAACACACACCGTCACCAACCGTTTGATTTTTACGAAATTGCGGAATTGCGCAAAACTCTAGTTGCGGAATTGCGCAAAACTTGAGTGTCGCAAACGCGGAATATGGCAATTTTACGCGAAATGACTTTTGCGAATGATTGCGCAAATTGTTGTTTTTTCGCGCAAAACTGATGCGCAAGGAAAGAAAAGTTTTGCGCTTAATTCCGCAAAAATTGCGCAAAAGTTTTGCGAATGGAAACCCTAAGTGCATTTGATTTTGATACAAAGCAAAAAATTACTTTGCAAGTAAGTTAATTAATCTATTATTAAGGGAAATGGGTCTGCTTACACTGCACAACTGTGCCTTATTTTCATTGGACTATTTTAAGGCATAACTTGAGTCTACAGGTTGACTTCCTATTCCAGAATTTTCTGATAATCACTGTATCAGAATTCATTCCTCTTTCTGCATGTACACATTTCTTCTTTCTTTGCCAAACCAAATTTTGGAACAATTAATTAAAGACTCTTTCTTTATAGGTATAGGTATAGTCAATCCAAAGCAATTGAGTTTTTGCCACCAATTCTGATTTTCTAATCCCTATATCTTTGAAGCCCAATGTTTAATATTTTAAACTATAAATTCTGTTGGGTCAAATATTCTAAGTTTAAAATATCAAAGGTTCACACAATAAAATACGAAATTTTTTTAGGTTTTTTTATCTTTACCTGACAGAGATTGATCTAAGTGTTTCGTCAGTTTGTACTACATGTCCTAAAATATGCTTGAATATATTTCTTTTGCTAAGAAGTTTTTTGTTTAAACCGGCCTCACATATAGATTCAGCCTACTTATAAAAAGTCTCATCAATTTTTGAGACACCGGGTCGACTTTGAGGTGTCCCAACGCCTAGAACTTTGATATTAGTGTTCAAACTCACTTTTGCTTTTCTGTAGCCCTTTACATATACATTTCACCGTGAAACACTTGTTGTTAGCTTTGTTTTTTAGAAAGTAATTGGCAAAATTCTCATCGATTTTTGCTTGAGAGCTTTCAACTTTCAACATAATTGAACATAATTGAAAGCATAGAATTGCTTCTTGACTTTAAATTGTTTATTAAATTATTCCAAGTTATCAGGAAAAAATTACTTGGCACACCAGGAACCATATCAAAAAAACGTACCTAAAAATTCAAACTTTAAAAATAAGTGCCTTTAAAAATTTAAAAACCTTGCTAAAAATTCAGATATTAAAGAAAACATGCCTGAAAATTCAAACATTAAAGAAAACGTGCCTGTTTAAAAAGTAAGATCGACTAAACCTAAGAAAAAAGATCCTGGTTAAGACAAAGTAACTTAACGGCTGTCAAAAAATGAAAAAGGAAAAAAAAACAAAGACATATTAATAATTCAAACAGTAATTAATCTGTCTAAAATATTTGAAAAATATATCTGCCGTAAAGTAACTTACTTAATAAAAATTTACTTTAAAATTACTAAAATTTACTCGAAAAGTAATTAAATTTTAAAAATTTACTTAAAACTTAAATTATTAAAGTTGCGTGCCTAAAATAAAAAATAACCTTTGTATTTTAAAAAGTCTGATTGTCTTGAGCCATAACGAGCCACTCTGCAAATATAAGTCATTATTTATAATGTGAATAATACAACAAAAAGTAATTTTTCAAGAAAACAAAAAGAATAATCACAGTCTTGTGATGAAGGACAAAACTTAATTTTAAAAAAATACGTTCTAGTTTATTTTTTTAAAAGTTTTTATCTTACCTCTTCTCCGAACTTCTGATGAGGGAAGTTTTTTCATTCATTTTTCCTACTCGGAGATCATATTTAATCATTTATCTGAAAAAAAGAAATCTAAGATAAAATTAACTCAATTTTTTAATAAAAATTTTTTATACTAGGTTGGATTTTTTGCTTGATTAAAATAGACTCTTGTAAAGAGAGAAGTATCTAAAAAGGCTAAAGTTAGTAAATTACATATCTTTTAATATTCTATTTAAGAAATTAAACGATTTTTTGGAAGACTAGCTTTGAAACCCAACTTTGCCTGCAAAAACATGAAACAACTCGACCCACTACATGGAACAGAGTTTTTGCAAACAAACTCAAATTTTCTAATCTCTACATCTTTGCAACTTGATTGTGTTAACCTTTCATGTTTAAAACTTTAGACTATTTGATAATTCAAAGGTTAAAATATCAAAGATCTACGACAACGAGGGTTGCAAAGAGATATATAGGTTAGGAAACTGCAGAAGTGTGTAACAAAAATACATTTAGAATCTTCAAACCAAACTACGAACATTCCCATGGTTCAAACGAGTTCCCCAATCAATGTTTGGTGCAAATAGGTCAAAGAGTTCGTGACTTAAAATCGGAAATACAAAAAGAGAGATTACTACTTTATATATTTAAAGGTATTTTTTCCCTCCCTCTGATGAGATATGTTCAGTTGACTACAGTTCAGGTGTGTCAAATTTTATTTCTTACCATCTGAAGTGACCGGCGTTGCCCGTGGAATTTGCCTTGTTACCCCCGGGATATCCCTGGGTTTCTTAAAAAAATGTCCACCCATTTGGTCCAGCCGTTTGGCCGGCTACAGGGAACAAATATATGAATGTCTTGTTTTATTATATAGATGACTTAAGAATAAAGAAAAACTTTTATTATTAAGTAAAATAACTGAATACTCTCATCTATCTCTAATTTTCTAAATCCTTAATATTTTTGCAACCTGGATTTTAAGAAATCAATTTCCTTTCGACACTTCACTGGACTTCATGATACAGACTAAAATGAAATACTAAAGATATATCCTTATCTGTTACAACACTCTAATCTATTACTCATGGAGGCTTAAAAACAGGGAGCAATTATTCAATTATAAATAAAGTGATTGTTCACGTAATTTTAATTCTCCATTAACAGAGTGGTATGTCCGATTCACAACAGCATCCTTTAAAGCTATATCTGATAAAAATGCATCACCGGTATCCATCATATTTTTTTACTTCAATTGTGGTTTGTCTGGATATTTACTTGCGCATTTTGACTTCATGGGGACACTGGAGAAAATGTCAGAATTAAACATTAAAGAATGAAAACCTTTATTGACCAGACAAGGGTTCAAATCTGGCATACCTCTTTTTAAACGAAAGAACACTTTGAATAATAATGACAGTCCCTTTAAATATTAAAAATCTATGACCGAGAAATATTCCAATCAAATCATAGAGGCTGAAAAAAGTAAATCATTCAATTGAATTTACTTCTAAAGGTCATAAAACAATGATCTCTCTTTATATTAATCCTCCAATTATTGCAAATAATATTTCATAGTATAGTTTCTTAACCAGGTGTAACTTGTAACTGCAGAATCAGGGATGTTATATAAGGATAGAAAGCTGTTTGTTTGTCCGATCATAACTCAAGAACCCCGAGACCGAATTGCCTCAAATTTTGATTGGGAAGCTCGAGAGAATCAAGGAAAACAGTCTCAGCTTGGTTTTAAGATTCTAAGTTGAGTGGGTCCACTTTTAAAAGGAAAAATAGCGAGAATCGTAATTTACGACAAAACGCGGGTAAACGGCTGGAGTAAGTATGAATATCCTGGGCAACCCTGGGTTCTCAAATATCTAAAAAATAAAATTTTAAAAATATAAAAATTTTAAAATATACAATTAAAGGAAATTTAACTATTTTGTAAGATGGAAAGCTAGAATTATGACGTTAAAAAATATATTCTTATCAGACTTGTAAACTCAACCGTTTTCTTGCGTCATTTTCACTGTCATCTTTTGCGTCATTTTTAATGTCAGCTCTTGCGTCATTTTCACTGTCTATATACATCTTTTGCGTCATCTATTCACGGTTTTATCTTAATGAAAAACAGTTCACTATCGTTGTTAGATTTATATAGAACCCGTGATAACATTATATATAGAACTCGTGATAACATTATATATAGAACTCGTGATAACATTATTTACTTTTTATCTAGTTTACAAGCTTAACAACACGTGATGCAAACTTTTGGACAGGAACTCCAGAGTGCAATAATTTCTTTCAAAAATAATTGCTATTAATAAAAAAGTACAAAGTCCTTTTGTAAGTAACCTTGTAATTGTATAATACAAGCACTGCCAACTGCTGTATGTCAACTGAAATATTCGTAAAAACCCGAGAAAATGGGTGGGTATACGGGGAAGGGCGGGGGGAGGGGAGCAATTGACCGCTAGAGAAAGGTGAAATTATTTTGGAACTGCAAATTGCCATGCACTGAATTACATATCCTGTAAATACGTAACATAATTGTATTAATCATGTGATATGAATAACGATTAACGACACAGGAATTATAATTACTTCAAATTTTAATAATAGATTATCAACAGTGCAAATCTCACCTTTCATTAGCTATTGAGAGAACTTAGATATCTTTAAAAGTTTATTAAGTTATTAGCGTTTGATAATTAACATTAAAAAACCCTGTATTTAATTAATCAAGTATCCATTTAACTTTTTTAAAGATTTTTTATTAGAAAAAAAAGCAGGAAATCAAGTTTTAATTGGAATAAAAAGGAAATTTTTTCTTACAATATATTTTGTATTCATTATTTTAATCCCTAAACTTACTCTTGAATAAATGGTGTGTAGCCGAAACATTTATTTCTTTGTTGACTCTCATCTAATTTATAATGGTTAATTGATATACAATAATCATAAAAGATTAAAATATTTTTTTATTGTAATACAGGGTTACCTTTAAAAGATGAGACTGTAAAGACAACCTGAAACTCTGAAGAAATGACGACCCCAAGTCTTTTGCCTTGGATAAAGTCTTTTGATGACTTATTTAACGATTTGGCAAAGAATGACACAAGTTTACAGAGGCAGAGAATCATAATGTAAGGAAAAAGACAGTATAACTTCCGTACAGTTGACTCTAAAGTCTCATCCTTGGAGGGTAAACTGTATAGGGACTGAATTGCATCAATGTCGTCTTCCTGTAGCCGTCGATTAATAATAATAATACTTATCTTAGAATAGTTCTTTTTCTAATGCATAGGAACATGGGACTATGTCGTCTTCCTTTAGCCGTGGATTAATAATGATTTCACATTGAAATAATTCTTCTATTTCTAAACATGGACTGAATTGCAAAAATGTCGTCTTCCTTCAGGATTGTGTTAACCTTTCATGTTTAAAACTTTAGACTATTTGATAATTCAAAGGTTAAAATATCAAAGATCTACGACATCGAGGGTTGCAAAGAGATATATAGGTTAGGAAACTGCAGAAGTGTGTAACAAAAATACATTTAGAATCTTCAAACCAAACTACGANAATTCAATTCTGGAAGAATCTTGTTTTGGAATGTCTTCCTATTGGTCACTTTTACAGAATTGACCAATGACAGTTAAGAAGAGTTCAAATCTCACAATTTTCTCGACAATTTTAGTTTTGGACATGCATATTTCCTAAATGTGGATTCTTCGGGCATTGGTTACTTTCTTATTATTTTATATGAGATTAAAAAGATTTTAGAAATTTGATTAAAAAAATTTAAGAATATAATTCATACTTGATTAAGCAAAGCTTTTAAGGGTCACTTGAAATTATTTAATAGGATTAAAATATTGCCAAGTTTCACACTCTCTAATTTCTATTTTATTATTTTGGTCCCTTAATTTAAACTTTTTGTAACTGGAAGTAACCAATTGAGTGTAGTATAATCGTTATCCTACTCGTATGTTAATATTTTTTTTATGTATGGAATAAATCTTCAGTTGTTTAATTCTAAGCTTAGATTATCAATTTTTGAATTTTGACAATTCGCCTGAAAAGTTACATTTTGCGTAAAACTTGCGGTAATTGCGCAAAAAAAAATTGAGCAAAACTAAAATTTCGTTTCATGCGAACTTTCGCAAAATATTTCCGGTTTTGCGCAAATTGCGCAAAAAAATAGCGCAAAACCGCGCAAAACTCATTGCGTTTCATGCGCAAATATAGCGTAAAGTTCGCAAAAAAAAATTTGCGCGAAAATAGCGCAAATTTTGCGCAAAAAATTTAACCATTTCGTGGAAACCCTAATTTCACATTGAAATAGTGAAGAATAATTATGATAATATATTAGAATAGGTCTTCTATTTCTAAACATGGACTGAATTGCAACAATGTCGTCTTCCTTTAGCTGAAGATTAATAATGATACTATATTGGGATATTTCTTCTATTTCTACAAATGGACTGAATTGCAACAATGTCGTCTTCGTGGAACTGATGATTAATAATGGTAATATATTGGTATTGTTCTTCTATTTCTGTTGTACAGGGACTGAATTGCAATAATGTCGTCTTCATGAAGCTTGAGATCAGGATCGTAGCCCTGGAACAAAACACATATTTTTGTCATCTATATAATGAAGATGACATTCAATTTTAATTTTAAATTATATCATGCTGTTAAAAAGCATAGATAAGCATAAACAAAGTCATGAGAAGCTGTCCATTAAAAAAGCTCTTTTTGATAACTTGTAAACTTGTAATTCGAAAAAAGCATGTTAACAATCAAATGTTGAATGAAAATCGTCTTCATTGTATTGATATAATCGCATATTACTGTAATAAACCTGTTATTTTTAAGAAACCCAGACATGGACAGCTTATGATATTTTCCAGGAAGGGGGGGGATATTTGAATTATTGTGCTTAACCCCCTCCGAAACTTTCTATCCCCCCCCTGGAATTTTATACAGAGAAATTGGGTCAATTTTATGTCAAAACGATGAGCAGCTTGGGGTGGAAAGGTTAAATTGTGTTTGCAAGATTTGGATT